TGCAATTTGAGGAAAAAAAAATACTGACTGCTTTAAGTCACAATAATTGTGTGTGGCACTTAGCGATGCTTCCCATTTAAAAGAAATAAACATTCAATATTGTTTAAACTCAGCCTCAGAAATGCTCCTTTGAGCACTCTCACTGTAAATATACTCTTCATAGCCCAAGGAAACTATTGCAAGAAATAGTAGTTTTCAGTCCCAGCTAATGATTCCATAGCCCGGCTACATGTTTGTCCAGCTCATTCAGATCGTGAGGATTAAAATGGAGAGCAACCTATGTAATAGCAGTTCAGGCCTTCTCATCTCCAGAACCAAGACCTGCAGCTGTGAAGTTTGCATTAAGGCTCAGTTCGATCTTCAGCCCAAAGCCTGAGCCCAGAATTCTGTCAGCCCCTGCCAGCAGCTGAGCAGTGGATGATGGAGAATAGCAGATCTGACATTTTACTGAAGTGTATCTCCATGGCAAAACTTCAGGCATCTGCAGTTTCTCTGAAAATAGTTTTCAGAGCCAGAGAGCCAGTTTCTTCTGCTACAGGCAATGTGGTGAGCCTATGACTAGTTGCTAAATATGATGAGGATTTTTTTAAATGTTAGATGTTTTGAAGTGTGGCATTCTTATATTKCTGTTTGTGGCCCTGACTGTAGCAAAGCAATGGCAAAGGCATCTCTGTAAATAACAGCTACAATTCTGGAAGCAAAATGGATTTTATGTTTTTAACATTATACATTTGCTGTGTCTCATGTTTGGTTGTCGAAAGTTGGATAGCTTTGGATCTTTGCTATATCCATTGCTGAGCAGCAGACATTGGTTTGGCATAAAAGCCATAAGCACTGTGCACTGCCAGGTGGGTGCTGCAAAGTTCTGCAGGAGTGCCAGTGTTCACAATCTGGTCACTCAATCTTCCTGCAAAAGAAATAGAAGAAAGGGGAAACTGCAGGAGCAGAGAGGCCTTGTGCCTCTTCGCCCTTGCCTTAGGAAGAAGTGTCCAGTTTTTCTAGGAGAGCAGCCATGCTGAGCTCACTCAGCTGGACAGCAGCTCTATGGGGAGGATGGCATCTTCCTGACTCATTCCTGAGCATGAACCCCATGTGGTGAGCTCTGCAAAAAGTATGGAGTAGGAGGTGCTTTGCTCGAGCACTGCTTGAACTTTTTTTATTTATTAGCTGAAGTTTGATTTTGCATTTCAGAGCAAAAATTCAGGAGAAAATCTGAAGGACATGTGATGAAGAGAACCTGACTAGACATATGCATGAAATCAGTGAATTGCTTGCTCAAGTGAGCACTTAAATAGTTTTTACTGAATTGAGCATACCATAGGGTATAGCAGGTTAGTTGGTGAAGGCTCTCCAGRCTTTCCATCTTTTTAGATGATGTTATGTATCATTCTGAAGCATCTTTAAAATTTCATTAGTAGCTCAAAGTTAAAAAGGGTTGAGAGGTTTAGAATCTGACTGCTCTGGATTGGGAATGCATTCAAATGTAGAACAAGAGCAGTCAGATCTGRTGCTGCACCTTTGAGGGACTCTACAGCATTCTTTTTAAGACTTATGTTAGAAAAGAATGTATTCTTCTGTAATGCAAGAGTCACTTTTTAGCTTGACTTTTTGCTGCAGTATGTCACATTCACATTTGAAACACTGGACTGATAAGCAACAGCACAACCTGAGAAATTTGTTGGGAGGTCCATGTGTAAACCTGTGTAAATGACAAACTCAAGGCAGTACTTAATCAACTACCACATTGTGACTTCAGTTGGAATAAGACTTGATAACCTCACACTTAAGAATGATGTCCTTCTCTTCTGTGATKTCCTGTGCAGACAGAAAGAATATTTTGCCCAAGTTTCCAAAATGCAGAGGTGGTTTGGGCASTGGGCTGTACTGTGAATGGATATGATTGCTGCTTGTAACTGTTTCCCTTTATTTGCATTTCTTCATCAAAAGGCTTCAGTGAGACCCAAGTAGAAGGATGAAGAAGTGCATACTGTAGATTGAAATCTATCATTGATATTAGAGTACTTGTTGCAAGAGAATTGATTTCAGAGTTCACATTTGGAGGACTCTTGCTTGGACACATCTGCACTGTATTAAATGTATTTCTCACATACCTTCTGTCMTTGTTTGCATGACTTTGAGTGAATAATGCAGCTTCACAACCTAGTTCCTGTCCCTTTTCTCCCTGTCTTTAATCCCAAGCTTTTGAGTATGTATTCAGCTATTTTACCTTGGCCTATGGGTGTTTTACTGTTAAATGCAGCAATAAGCCACCTACAAGTAGTGGTAAAACAATGTGGGAAACTCCTTGGACTTCCTTGTATGAGACTAAGATTCCAGTTGGGGTATTGAGTTGGGAGAATTGTGCTTTAAAGCCGCTAGAAAAAGCAGCTAGCTGCCAGCGACAGAGGAATGTGAAGTCCTCTGCTGCTCTGCTACCACCAGGGTTAGGTGGTTAATGTTGACAAACATGCCAGGGGCCAATTCCAGCTTTGCTTTGTTTGGAATTTTTGTTTATTGGAGTTTAACCAAGCCAAAAGTTTGCAAAATAGCTTTTTTACTTGTTTTTCAGCAGGAATGAGCTTTTTTTCCATCAGTTCTTTTTCTTTCAGAAGTTAACACTTTGGCTAGCTTGGTCTATTACTCAGTTCTTAACTTAACCTTGTTTCGTGTTCTGGTGCTCAATCCAAGCACACCTGTTTGACAAATTAGGGAAAAAGAACATTGATTATCATGTCCTTGTGTGCATCTATCAGTTTTGTAGCAGTTGAAAGGTTGGAGCAAGTTGATGGGTTTTGGCAGACCTGACTAATACCCAGTGGCTCTTGGCTCTGAGGGTTTTCTGAAGCTCCAGGAACTTTCCTCCAAGGCAGTCCATGGCTTTAGMACAAATCTGTAGCAGTGTCAGTGCTTTGGGAGGTGGGTGGAAATTTAGATGGGGAGATTGGTGTTTCTTAATTTGCTTGGTTTGGGAAAGGGTCTTTTTATTTTTTGGGGGGTGATAGATGCAAGAAAGACTGAAATCAGAGTCTTACAAATGTCCATGYAGACTSGAAAATCTCTGACAGYCACCAGCTAAAACTCAACTATTAAYGTATTTCAAATACATTGGACTGCCTTTGAAGTCTTCTGTGGAATATTGCATCTACCAACAGCAAGGTAGAAACGCCCTTAAGCATGTTATGAGTTTTGCTCGGAGAAATGTGAAATAAAGGTGATAAAACTCTTTGCAATTAATTTATCATAGCTTCTCACCACTTAAGAGTGAAAGAAGAGCCCTGAAAGTGTTCATCAGTGAGTCGGTTAGACAGGTTTTTCCGCCTTTTTTTTTTCTGTGACAGCCTTCAAACTTTCATTAGATGATAACACATAGCCATGAAATTAAATTACAAGTTTACTAGCTGTAGGACTGGCTTAACGMGAAACTTGCCACACAAATTAATCCTTGCTCCATAATRCCATCCTTGCTGTTTCTTTCGTGTGCATGACCTGAAGGTTTCTACCAGCACAGCTTACATTTTGCCTCTCAGTGGTCTATTTTCACAGTATCTTGAAACTGCCAGCATGAAAATGGTGAGCCATGTTACTACGCTGACCAAACCCTTGAAGGGTTTGCTATTTCTATCCTATCAGTTTAATAAATTAATTTCTGCAGTGCTGTGGAGACTACAGTGTAAAAGAGAGTTTCTGTAAAACTGAAGTATCACTCTTAAAATCTTGTTGATGTTCTCAAACTCTTCTCAAATTGTCAGGGGGTTACTTATGTGTGACACAACTGTTTTTATAAATACTTGTAAAAGTGGCTTTGAAGAGAAGGGTTTGGATTAACCTTGTTTTACATAGGAACATTTTCAGTTTTGTAATCATTCCAGTAATGTTTGAAGGCGCTCCAGTGCAGATTAATTGGAAGCTAATAGTTTTGCCAGTGGAGAGAAAGTTTTAAGTGCTGTAAAATATGTCATTGAAGATGATTCACGTTGTACCATTGCTTCACACTAAGGAAGCTGAATCTCATCCTGCTATAAACTGTGAATATTACTTCTCTGGTGTTTCCATTAAGCATGGGTGTGTAGTCAGTCCAACCCTTGGGGAAAAAAAAACCCAACAGCAATTCCTCTAAGGATTTATACTGCACAAGGTTATGATTTTACTTCGTTAGACTTCCAACTGCTCTTTCCTAAGTTATAATGGTTCAAGTGATATGAAGTTACTCTGCTTTTCTTGAAGACAGGAGAAAGACATAGAGGAGAGGATGTTTTTGTATTAAATCTCCTGGCAGTTTCTCTTCTTTTCTGTGGCATACTGTTCTTGTAGTTTGCCTCTGTCTGAAAAGAAAAAACAGAAGCCCAGCAGTTATTCCGTGTGCTTTTGGGAAAACGTACATCATATTTATCAAGGGATGCATGGGAAATGGATGTAAATTGTGTATATATATATATATATATATATATATATATATATATATATATATATGTATCCAGCATATCTGACGCCAATGTACTCCCTAAAACCAAGTGTGAAGTACTAGAATCTGCCAAGTGAATTTCCAGCTCATTGTGAATTATGCTTTTCATCACTAATGGATCTATTTGATGTGCAGTACTTGCAACTCACCAGTTGAAGTATTAATAATAATTTCTTATTATCCTTTTCCTGGTGTCTAATAACAGGTGAACTTTCCTGCAACAGATGGGCAAATTGTCCTCTCTCCTCTATTGTCTTGCTAGYTTTCATGAAACTTCTAAAACCTTAATTATCCTTGAAAACTTATGAGGTTTTTTTCACCCTGTTTAGATCCAAAGAGCTAATGAAACACCAGGAAAAGCAGGCAAATGAGCACAATGTTTCATTACAAAAGTTGTAGAAAACCAGACCAAAATTTTGCTTCAGTTTCTGTTAATGTAACCAGTGTGTGGTGGTTTGGTGGTGCCATACGAAATCGTGTTGAACTGTAAAATGTGTAAACCTGGTGTCCTGGASTTAATCTCTTGTACCTTTTGCAGGTGGAGATTTACATTTTACCTTTATATATTTACCTATGGAATACGGTTCCTGAAAAAGGTARGCACTTATATTATTATGCTTTCATCACATATCACCAACTTGAAGTATTGTGCAGGTATAATATAAAGCACAGACATAAAGTCTATGTTCACAAGGAGTAAAAACGACAATTTAATTTGCATTCATAACATGCTTTGCTACTAGTATTGGTAAAGAATATAATTTCTTATCCAATTTAACGGGGTTTCAAAAGGAAAAAAATGGTAGTAATGTACCTAGAAATTTTGCAGTTTCCATCAATGCTGTGTTTCAGGTGATTTATAAACAGAAGGGTATTAATAGCTGCTAAATACTCTGACAAAGGCCTGTTAACTCTGCCATAGAGAGTAATATCGATTTATGATGCAAATTGTTTTTACAGTGTGACTAGTTCYCAGAGTTAGAGCAAGGCCTCTTTTGTGCAAGTCGTGCCATATTTGTATAATTCTGGGAGATGAAATTAGGTCCATGTGTGTACTCAATCTGTTCTTGTAATCTTTGATTTGGTCAAAAATTTGACACAAAAAAACATATCCTGAATGCTTCTGATGMTTTAAAGGTAAAATAAATTCTATTATCCTCTTTCATGTCTGTAGTTCTTGAGTCTGTCCCAGGTGCAAGGCAACCTGGTATGAGCAGGACAAATCCCCCCTGGACAGGAGGCACATCAGAGCTGTTCTCAGCTCTTTAGCAGTTTTCAGCCCAGGGGAAGTGTAGGCCAGAGCAGCATGCAGTTGCATTCTCTCCCTGCCTCCTTGAACTCTTACATTTTGTGTGTACCTCATCCATTAACATGTTGTATGGTCATTATATGATACTGTGTTTTCTGTGTTTCATTTCACAAATGTTTGTGGTATGAAATATGAGAATAGTTTTAATGGGCRGTTGTCACAGCCCAAAAGATTACTTGGCCTGTAGGTTTGTAGAGATCATGGCTGGGTTAATGGGATCCTGTAACACACAGGGACACAAGGGCTTTGTCATCTGAATTTTTCTACATCATTACAGCAAATGCAGCAAAAATCGCTATTAGCAAAATCACTGCCAGAAAATATACTTATGATAAAGAAAGCAAATCTCTCTTAGAACAAATAAAGTGTCTGTTCTAGGAAAAAATCTGAATATCAGCATTTCCGTAGACTACGAAGAATACAGTAAATGCGTGCTTCATTCCAAGCCATTGAGAGCTCTTTGTAAAGGCTGAGTTGGCATGCTATGGGCAGGATGTCTTTCAGTTTGAGCATATATCACTGCTGTTTGAGGAGGGCTGGCTGACAGCAAGGTGTACAGATGCTTGCTTAACAAGGATCAGTTGTACTTCTGCTGTAATTGTAACTTACAGAATATTTCATTTTTACAAAGAGAAATAGTTCATTATGTAATTGTGTRTGTATTTATAATTACTTATTTATACACAGCGTTACAAATGAGTCTTGTAACATTTTATGTTATTGTAATTATTACAGTGTTCTGCCTTGTATACCCAGGTTTTTCACATGGAAAAATATGTAAATTAACAGAATTATTATTGTGATTGTGTTCCTATTTGCACTGTCTCCCTAGTAACACTATGTAACTAAAAGGCTGTACAGGCTTTTTGCTGTTCATCAAACACCCAAGATTTTGCTACTTAAGTGCAAGATCAGGGTTTGCAAGGAATAAATTCCAAACCTGAAAATGTGAAGGGAGATACTTCTTTCAGAGCTTTCCTACAGTACCCAAGTGGATAGTTCTTTTTWATTTGTCTTGGTTTTCTAAATGGAATTATTGCAAAGAACACTTAATTGCTTCCTTAATAAGCTAGTGAAMGAAGTTAAGTATTATAAATTCTCTGACAAATTTGCTAGAGAGATCTTTCATTCAAAAAGCTGTTTTGCCTGGAGAAACAAAGYTCATATCATGGTCAGCAGCTTCTTGATGTGCTAAATTACAGCAGAGGTCTCAATCCTACAGCTCTATGCTGTAGGCCATGATCAGGTGCTGATGTTGTGTATGATGGGTTTTAACAATGTGAAATGCACAAAAACTCATGCTACCACCCAGTCTCCCTATATCCATATGGACATCTGCTTTCCGTAGCCTCTGGATCATACAATAGCTTATTCACAAAACTCTCTCCAACCCCCTGCCAACTCCATTGCTGAGCTCTGAAGGCAGATCTTAATGGATTTTGCACTGGTCTTACCCTCAGTGCTTCTGACCTCAAATGGACACATGTTGCCAACTTTTCTTTGCTGCAATAATCATTAAGCAACATGAAGTGTCTAAGGGCAGGTTCTAGGAGTTGGCTTTCTAGGTGCAGCTGTATGATTGGTACATCTTACAGATGTTTGTGATTCCAAGGGAACACATGCTCCCTTCAAGAGTTACASTGAAATGAGACACAGCAGTCTTGGGCCAGAGAGCAGAGAAGCCAAGGAGTTGCTGGTTTGCTCACAAATGGATCACATGAAGAGGAGTAACTTGCAGCCTTCCACATACCTAACCAAACCACTGCATTACCTGCAAACTGTGACTTATGTAGACAGAAGACACCAACACACTTGAGAGAAAAAACTTTGTCATAGAGGTATTAGTATTCAATTGTCATATTAGACTTTCCCCCTTTCCCCACCTCTTCTGTGGTTTCAGCCTTTTCAGGCTGCAAGGCTTAATTTTATTACGGGGTTTGCTGTCATTGTCTGTAAATACTAAAGTTGTTAATGACAGTTTAGTGTCAAAGCATCTCAAAGATGACATTTTTTCTAGGTCTTAGTTTGTTTTTCAAATGTTCCTTATAAAGTTTTGCYGCTTCTTCAAGTCCTGTCTACCTTAATACTTTCAGTTGTAGCTTATTTATATTACCAGGTGGTGTAATAGTGGGATGAGACTTTCTGTTTCCCAAAGGGTCTCTCATTGCTCAAGGGAAGTGTATGTTTGTTTCCGTTCTTTCAAACCAGAACTTTCAATTTGATGAAAATGAACTGTAAACTTGCTAGGTAATTAATATAAAGTAGATGTTGGGAATTGATGGGTTTGTCACTTGATCCCATAGCACTGTGTGTTTCAGGACATGCCCTGCAATGTGACAGCACTGAGAGAATGAAATAGGTCATTGTAATTAGGATTTGAAGTCACCTCTGTGATTTCTGATACTTTATGAGAAGAGGGAATCAATGTAAATGTAGGTTAAGAGTTCAAGTCATCCATGTTCTACCTGAAATATTATTTTCAAGAGCARATTTGGTAATAAGTATTCTTCTGTGTGAGGAAATGGACCAAGGTACCAACCTAGAAGGAGAAGATGAAGCTTCCTTTGTTATTGGCTGCCAGCTCCAGTCTTCGCTGTTTTCTAGAGCAGATTTGAATTGTTTATGACTAAAGGGTGGGTGGCCCACAAGCATTCCATCAATTCTCATTGCTCCCATTCTTAGTAAAATGGTAAATGCTAGATGTGACCATCCCGTCTTAGTTTTCAGACTTTTGAATGAGATATTTTGACACTGAAGGACTGAAGTCAGCATTCACTATAGYATTCTTTGTATCTTCATTAATCACTAAGATTTGAAGCATAAAAGATAAGTAACCAGTTATATTTCCACTCTGATCATGTGTATGCAAATTCTTCCCTTTCTGAATGAAACTGAGATTTTTCCTCACTACTGTTTCATTTGTCTATAAAACACTKCCTTGCAGAGCACCACACCAGTAGTGATGCCAACAAGACGTTAAGTTCTGGTGGCATTAAACTGATTGCTTTGATTATCATTAACACAGKAGTAAGATAATGTTTTTGTTTTCTTCAGTAATAGTTGTAGTTAAATAAATGGTGGCTTTTCTCATTAAGAGTTAATGGTCTGACTGTGCTCCAGTTAAATGGAAAAAATACCATTATCTTTGRTGATGAAACAGAGTGAGGAATTTAGGATTGGCTTGTTTCTTGCTTGCTCATCTTTGGTGCTAAGCAATGCCTGTATAATGCTGTAAAATGAAAAATCTTTACAAAYGTATGGATGCAAAGCTTCCAGGTGACATATGTAGACTTCTCACATTTAATTACTTTCCTTTAATTGCCCATGAGAATTGCAAACTCACAAAAGAGGATGAATTTTCTGTGAGTCTTCTGAAGTCTATTGAGACTTGGAAATCTGAAGTTGCATGTAGGTATTCTACTGGGGAAAAGATCATTTGCCTGGATAAACAAATCTTGCTATTTTTCAAATATAGTGTTGAAGTAAGGCAGATGATGTGAGTATGCTGTGGCTATATATAAAAATGCTGGGTRCAACAAGCTTCTGTCTGCATGCAGCTGATTGAGTGTCCTTCCTAATGACTCATSCCATACTGAAGAACTGAGAACTGTCTACTGAGATCTGTCTCGTGGGTAGTCACAATTTCTGCCTGTAGCTTGCAAAATAACAGGGAAAGCCATGTTGAAGTGTAAATTTGACTCTGAAAGCCTATTCAAGTGACATAAATGTATGGAAGGCAAATAGAAAATAGCAGTGTTGTATGAAAGGAAAAAAAGCCCAACAGGTAGAGCTCCACTTCTGCTGTTATGAAAGTTCCTCTTTCTTGAAACTGCAGGATGTTGCAAATGAAGAAAATGAAGTGTTTATCCTCATGTGTGCACTAACCACTGAGTCAGTGTGGTTCTGTGTGACAGCAGATGTTGTGTTAGTGACCCACAGTTTCTGTGTGCACATAGAGAGGAACTGGCTTCATGCTTTTTGTGAGAGTGTTGCATTCTGCTGCTCAGCTGAATTGGCTTATTCTTTGCCTTTTTGGAATAAAATAGCAGCAGCAATACATGCACGTTACAGCCCAGAGAGACTAGTGTAGAATTTGTAAATGCACTTTTGAAATGCTTATATTCCAGAATTTTAGAGCCTAAAGTCAGACCACCTTCATTTGAAATACCAAAAAAAGAACTTGTCAATAAATTGGTGTCTGGTTATTGACATTGTTTCTGTATTAGTTTGTCTAATTTTTAATGTTAGATGAAGTAAATAATTATTGATRTGCACAGCCACTTCATA